CCCCTTTCCAGAGATGGTGGAGAAAGACCCGTCAGCAACTCTCATCTTATCCTGACCAGACAACAAATGATATGAAGAGAATAGGGAGGACATATGTGTCATGTGGTCAGTTGCACCGGAATCAATAATCCAAGAAGTAGAGTCAATAGAGCTAGTGGCACTGAAGGCAGAGACTGTACCTGATCTGGCAAGAGAGGTGGAAACAAAAGAATTATTCCTTAGACGGGCTAATGCCCGGCTAAGGACCTCTACCTCACTAGCAGTGAAGCCCAAAGCACAAGTTCCAGAGGAATCAACAACCTGTCCCATAGGAGAAGAAGACACTGTTGGTATATTCTGTGAGTTGTCACCATTGTTGCTAGTGACAAGATTCCCACTTGTCGCATGACCCTTCTGTTGTTTCTTGTCCTTTCTTAATGCAGCTGGCTTCAGGTGAGGATACAAAACCCAACACTTTTCTTTTACATGTCTCTCACCACCACAATGAGTGCACTTGAGGTGCTTCTTGTCTGGATGTCTGTTTCCCTTAGTAGAAACCAGGGCTGAATGTTCTCCGAATTGTTCAGTTGGTTGAGTCTAAGAGTCAACTTGCATCTCCTTTCTCTTGACTTCTTCATTCCTCACCAGATAATAAACATGGTGTAACTTGGGCAATTCATCTCTCCCCAGAATTTGCGACCTTATACCCTCATACACTGGGTCCAAACCAGCCAAGAACTTGAAGGCTCTGCTCTCTTCAATCTGCTTATCATGTCTCTCCTTGTCCCTGGCATTTTCCCAATCTAATATCAAGTGATGGTCAAGTTCTTCCCAAAGACCTTCCAGAGTTGCAAAGTATGTGGCAACTGTCATATCACCTTGCCTTAAGGCAGCAATGTCTTGATTCAATCTGTAGATTCTAGCATTGTTTTTCTTCTGTCCATAGGTCTTAGACACCTTTTCCCAAATCTTGGCTGTTGTAAGAAAGTGATGAACAGTCCTGACAACCCGAGGAGTCATAGAGGCAAGCAACCAGGACATAACTATAGCATTCTCCTTGTGCCACACAGCATACTCTGTACTGCCAACCTCAGGTTCCTTCTTTCTAGGTAGCCTATGAGATCACGGGAAGTAATAAACAGCAGTGCGGAAACTGACCACTCCCTGAAGTTGTATTCATCCAGTAGCACACTTGTAATCTGTAAGCTGTGCAGATTAGGGTTTTCCAGATTTGAAGACCTTGCCATAGGTCATCCCTAGAAGAAACCTCTCCGGATACTGAAGACATCTTGACTGCAGCCTCTATGTAGATGACACTGATTAAGACTAGCCGAAGCAGTTCTGAAGGTTCTGAACCAGTTCTGAGGCAGGTTCTGATTAGCCGAAGTGATCACAGCAGGTTCTGGAGCAGTTCTGAAGCAGGTTCTGATTAGCCGAAGTGATCACAGCAGGTTCTGACAGCTCTCAACACAGTTTCAGA